TCTATCATGACTGTTACAGACTGGCGGTATTGCCTCTGATACGCCTCGTGGGTTGAGGTCGGTGAAGCTGAGATTATCATGACTGAGCCTGAAAACAGTTAGTTAGACTGAAAACAGAAGAGTTTTTGCACAGTTAGACAACGAGAAATCTCTCTCCTTTTCGGTGAAATCTGTCTTGCGAGTGAAGAAAAACATCAGTTCAATAAAAATTGACGCTAGTACGCCGTCCTAGTATCCTTATTATTGCTCATGGCTTATGGCACATTGCTTGAACTTTCGTTAAATACGATCCTTTCATGATTAAGTGCTTGCTATGTACGCTAATTTAAGAAATCCAAGCTCTGATTATGCCTTTAGGCCACAACTCGTAGTTAATAAGTGCGCTATAATTGTTCAATTTACGGGCCGTAATTTATTGTACGGCCCGCTTAATTCAAAATTTTGATCGAATTGAAATCTCCCCTCTCTATTTGAACCGTAGAGATATAATAAAGATCTTATTAACCTCGAGCTCGTTTTCTTGGCCGGTCCGCTCTGTAGTTACGAAACCTCGGTTTTCTCCGCTCGAATTTACAACTCGCGTGCTGCGCGCTTGAGAGATATATCTGTGCTGAAACAACTCGACCGTAACTTACAGTCCGGACCACAAAAAACGAAGTTAGTGCGAGGTATGTAATGTTTGCTTGATGTATATCGTGTTACGTGGTTTAACCAGACGCCAAAATGTCTATCACCAAGCTCTTCAAGCTGGTTGCTCTAAGCGTCTAGCTTATACACTTGCTTGATTTGCGTGGAACTACGCCAGTTCGTGTCTTTACATTACAGTTGAATAGCAGCTCGTGAAAGGTGAATTACGTTGTGGGACAGCTTTCATAAATTGTATCCTATCTATTTATTGATAATCGTATCTGTTTACCGCAGGTTAAGTACGGAGGAGAACTGAGAGTCGATCATATCTAGCGGTAGGTACAGTAGCTGTGGTTTTGCCTATTTAAGCGCTGATGACCTACATCCTCGAAAATCTTTTCATTGCGGACGCTTTTCAGAACAAACGGAAACGAAGAGAGTGGCTGACGAATATAACAGATGTTCTGTCGGTTGTTGGCAATACTTGGTGATTACATTGGAATGTGTACTCAAAGTTGGTAAGGGTGGCAAATGTAAGTTTGCACCCTTAAATGATACCTACAAGTTGAATTGGTTTCTCTGGGATAAATGTATTGTAGAATGAAGTAGTTATACACTTATTTGAATAAGAGACAGAGAAACTTAATCAAAAAGATATTCTCTCGGCCGGTCATCCTTGACTGAGTAAACAAAAGCGAGTAAACCGCCGTAAAATGGCC